TTTCAACTGGAAAAAATAGCTTTTCCTTCCCATGAGACTTTCAGATCATAATAGATCCAACTAGCTATGCAGGGGCTTAAGATTTTCTGTTAATTAGCCAGTGGATGCATGATATCTTTAATCTGAAATGGGGGGGGGGGGGGGGGGAGAGGCGCGGCAAGAAGACCAATGCATAATCTCTCTATTGTTCTTTCTATGTTATTATCTGTCTAGGAAATAGAATGAAGAATATTTAAAATAATATAGGCTTGCTTTGATGGCATCTGTGAATCAAAATTGTACTTTATCTTCTTGGTATGTGGGGACAGCCTGCTTGACTATACTCCTTATAACTCAGATTGGTTAAATTGGTAATGCGTTCAACAAACATTTATTGGGCATTTGGTAGAAACCAGGCACAGCTCCAGATGTTATGGATACATTGAGGAATAAAACAGAGTCTTAGATTACTGAATCTTACATTTTAGTGAGGGAGCTGGGTAATAAACAAGTAAACATGTAAAGATACTGAAAATTCGGTGTGGGCTGGGGTCACGCACCTATGACATGAGGCTGTAATGTATCAAGAAAGCTTTAATTCTTATAAGTGTATTTCCAGTAAGACATGATCTCATTCATCTAGGGGAAATGGTGAACAACATAGACTGATGAACAAGAACAGACTTAGAGATAAGGAGCCCTGGGGTCAGACTGTTGGACCTCAAAGGGAGGGTAGGGATAAAAGGGAGAGATCAACCAAAGGACTTATGTGCACACATATGAGCCTAACTAGTGGTCGAGGACAATAGGGCGGTGGGGGCATGAGTGGGGTGGGGTGGGGGATTGGAATGGGGGGTTGAGGACAAATATGTGATACCTTAATCAATAAAGAAATTTAAAAAAAAGCTTTTATTTTAGGTGCCTGAATACAGATGGGCTGAGTCAGACAAAAAGGAATCAGTAGAATCTGAAAGGGGAGAAAGGTTTTTTTAATCCTTGCTGGCTGCAAGTTCTCTGCTGACGTAAGGGTCCCATTTGTCTTTGGTTCCGTCCATGCCAGGTGTCTAGAGGTTACCTAGGCTATGCCTTGCTCAAGGCTGCAAGCTTTCTGCAGGATACCTGCTAAGCACAATAAGTTTTCTCTGCCTTGTTTTATTCTCTTTAACCCTTTCAGATACAGCATAACATTACGGAATGGGTACTAGGGAGACAAATAAAGCAGGAGGATGGACTAGAGAATGGGACGGTGAATAATTTTAGATAGGGTGTTCAAAAAAGCCCTCTCTGAACAAGAAATTAAGGAAGTGAGGGGGAGAGCCATGCCAATACCCAGGAAAGAATGCTTCAGTGGACTAAAAGAGCAATGTGAAGGCCAGGGACGTTGTAGGTGTTTGGAGAATAGCAAGGAGGCCAGTGTGGCTGGAGAGGGGTGAGCCAGGGAGAATCTGGGAGGAGATAAAGCCACAGAGATAGTCAGCAGCCAGATAACCAGGGCCTTCTGAACCTTTCTACATCTGATGAGTAGCCATCAGGGTTTTGACTGTGGAAGAGCCATGATCTGCTTTCTGTTTTAAATGAACTAGAGGCCCAGTGCACGAAATTCATGCAAGAGTAGGCCTCCACAGCCACGGCGGCTGCCTGGATCCCTCAATCCCGTGACTGCAGCCCCAGCTTCTTTTGGAAGGTCATCTGGAAGGATGTCCAGTCTAATTAGCATATTATGCTTTTATTATTATATATGATCCCAGAATAGGCTGTAAAAGGCAAGGGCACAAATAGGAAGATAAGTTAGGGGCTTATACATGAGTCCAGGTGGGACTTGGGTGCAGTTGTTAAGTGATAGCTGGATTCAGGGTATGTTTTTATTTTTTTAAATGTGTTTTAATTGATTTTAGAGAGAGAGGAAGGGAGAGCAATAGAAAGATAGAAACATCAACGGGAGAGACACATTCATTGGCCTCCTGCCTGCCCCCACCTGGGATGGAGCCTGCAACCTGGGCATGTGCCCTGAGAGGGAATTGAACTGGAGACCTCTTGATTCCTGGGTCAATGCTCAACCACTGAGCCACAACAACTGGGCCAGGATATGTTTTGATTTTGCAGTTTGGATTTTCTAACTGGATTTGAACTTTGGCCTGAGCATCTGACTGAATAATGATGCCATTGTCTTAGATGAGGAAAATGTTTGAGATGCTGATACCTATCCAAAGGCAAGTGGCCATTGCATATGTGAGCCTGGAGTTCAGGAGAGCCATTAGGGCTGAAGGAACAAGATTGGGTGTTTGGACTCCTCCCAATATTAAGATGTTGAGGAGCTGAAGAGGAACCAAAAGAGGAGATTGAGAAGGAACAACCATTGAGGACAGGAGGACAATTGGCAAGTGAAGTGTCTCAAAGCTGCAAGAAGAGAAGGCCAAGATCAAGGGAAGAAAGAAGATTCGTGGGGATATTGCTGAGAGATCGAGGACTTTGGCCACCACTTGCACATTGGATAAAGCATCATGAGATCATGGTGACATTGACAACATCCATTGACAGTGTCAGGAGTAGAGTGAGAGGCAAAAACCTGATTTAAATTGGTTCAGGTGAGAATGAGAGATGAGGAACTAGAGAGAGGATGAATAGTTCTTGAGACGCTTTTATTTATTAATTTTTGCTATGTGGAGGAATAGGGGTAAATAGCTATATAAAATGTGAAGTCAGAAATACTTAGATATTTTCTTAAAGGTGAGCGCTATTATATCACATTTGAAAATTGATGGGGATTATTCAGTAGAAATAAAGGAGTGAATAGAAGGCTCTCTGAAAGTAGGTATGAGGGGATGTGAATCCAGTGTATCAAGTGGGGTCTGGGCATTTTAGCTGAAACTAAGGCATTGCATGATCTAGTTTTGTACAGTTACATATAGGTTGAATGTACTATATTTGTGCAGTTACATATAGGTTGAGTAGACATAGCTGTGGGAAGATGCTGTGTTATCTTTTGCTTGCTCCTGTTTTCTAAGAAAAATAAGAACCAAGATCATCAGATGAGTGTGAGGAAAGGGTAAAAACATAAAATAGTTTTCCAGCAGCAGGAATGTACAATAAGTTGTCAAGGGCAGTTGGTAAGGTTGTTGAGCAGATCTGAAAGTCTTTTGAGATTAGTGTCCTATCTTTAAATAGAGCCTGCCAGTAGACTTGTTTACTTTCTCTAGATTGGGTCAGTTTCTCTGATATAGAAAGAGAATCAGGATGACAGTATTTAATCAAGGTGGTAGTTTTGCCAGCTGAATAATATAGAAGAAGAGAGAGACAGAGATGGACTGGGGACAAAGGTACAAGAGTGATTAATTGTGTAGTACAATGGGCCAGGGTGGATGACAAGGAAGGTGAAGCCATAAGGCAGGTAAATGACCATGAAGAGGTGGCCAAGTCAATGGATTCAGAGGCCACTGATGTCAAATTGTTGAAATTGGGGCACTGGAGGGGATGACCTGGAAATACCTTTCAAATAAAGTGTTGGCAGCTTTCTTCAAGCTTAATCTAAAAAACAAAACAAAACAAGACCTTTAAAAAATCACTTGTGCCACATGGCTGGGAAAAATGTACTTTTCAAATACGAATTCAAATCACTTTGTGCCAGGATAGTTGCGCTGACATTCTTGGGCAATGATTTCTTTGTCTTCATCCATAAAAGGAGATGAGTAAGAAAGCAGCACTGAATTCTTAGTGATGGTTAGATCCCACTGAGTCCCACTGCTTTGTTGCAGTTTAACTGACAGGCTAGAATCGCAGGGGTGTCATTTCATGGGGTCCCCAAGCCTCAGCAATAGGGATAAAATTGAAGATAAGGTCTTAGTTGGCACAACAAAAGAAGCTTTGGTGTGTCACAAATGAGAGATCATTAGATAGATGTCAGCTATCTGGTTGTTAAATAACACTCTCCTAAAGATTTGTCATGTGTATTTATCTCATGAAGCAATCAGTGAATTAAAAACAACAACTTACTTTAGAAATATAAAAATGTCCCCGTCAAAGATATGGCAGTTTTAAAGTATATTATAAAGTATATATGTAAATACATTTGCTATCACAGATGAATATTGTTTGTTTTTTTTATAGTATCTAGGGTATTACTGGCTAGAACTATTATAATAGGTTTATTTCAATATATTAAAAAATATCCTGTAAATATTCTCATGTACAGTGTGTTTTAAGGAGAAATTTTACCAATGATCAACATATGTTGCCCAGAAGGACAATCTTCTGAATTAAAACTGAAATATGATAATTACCACTTTTATTAAATGTCCAGCTGGCACACTTTGAAAATGTCCTCTCAGAATCTAGCATTGATTTTATTTTGACTTCCAACTTGCCTATTTATTAATTTTTTTTAAAGAGAGAGTAATTAAATAATTTTATTCATGTTTTCTGACCTGATCTTAAATATGCATTTGTCTATGAATGTATCCAATATTTCTCTTGTTCAGATATTTCTTTGAAAATTCATACTTAAAAGTATACTTAATTTTTTTATTGTTTAAATTTCTTTATTGATTAAGGTATCACATATTTGTCCTCATCCCCCCATTCCCATCCCAAATCCCTCCCCATGCATGCCCCCACACCCCTGCTGTTTTTGATCACTGGTTAGGCTCATATGGATGCACATAAGTCCTTTGGTGGATCTCTCTCCTTTATCCTTACTCTCCGCTACCCTCCCTCTGAGGTTCGACAGTCTGGTCCATGCCTCCTTATCTCTGGGTCTGTTTTTGTTCATCAGTCTATGTTGTTCACCATTTCCCCTAGGTGAGTGAGATCATGAAATACACTTATAAGAACCAAAAATGAGACAAGCAATAATGGTTATGCTGAAAGGCAGATGAATTAATCTGTAGTGAGTTTCTTTCTGGGCCAATAGTTCTTTTGAAACCCAATTTCAATGCCAAACAGTTCCTTACGTGTACATGTCAGCAATGATAATACAGTTTTGGATGGTGGACAAATGGTGGTAATTTGTTCCACCCTTTCTGGTTTGGTCCTGGGCAACCTGCAGGGACACACAGCTGCTGGCTATTAGTATGGCAAGGCAACATCAGCATCTTCCATCTCTGGACTGCTTCTCTTCTCTTCATGGCTGGAATAGTCCTGTCAGTATGCATTCCTCTCTGTTGCCGGAATCCATATGGTCTCAGAGTTGTTTCTGAAAATATACAAACATATTCTCGACCAAATATTAATAAAGGAATATTTTCTATAAATTTGATTTGGGATCCTTTTTCATTTTTTACACAAATGATTTTCCTTTGCTTGTTTTGACATCATGTGTGTTTTTCATGGGTGTCTTTCTGTTAGCATTACAATTAATTTTCTAAACTACAAATTTTCTAGATGTAATTTACTTACAGGATATTTTTCCTTACATAATATTCTTCTACTACCTCCCCCCTTTTTATTTAAATATTATAATGGAGGCTTTTGAAAATTTTATAATGTAATTTTTATAGCTTTTAAATTTTAATTTTTTGCACTATAATATGACTGCTTTAGGTTCATTACATGTTATGCAATTTTATCATGAGATGAGCTACCAATCAAAATTTTAGTTAACACTTTAGGAACTGCTTTTTGTCCAGTACAATTATTATTATTATTATTATTTTAGAATATTTGCTTATTTCAATTAGCCAATTTATCTTAATCTATTTTTGTGGGGGTTGGGGAAGAATTAATTTTTTCCCTCCATTACTGATTTTTACAAAATAGTTCACAGGTCAAGGTTTGTGGATCTGCTGGGGCTTTCTCCCATTGGCAACAACTTTATCCCTATGGCAACAACTATTTCTTGAAATTATTTTAAATGTATTCCTACAGTAACATATGTTTGTGGATGAACTGATGGTATAAAGTATCTTACTGCAAGTGTTGTTTAATTTGGTAAAGTTAGGAGGAGACTCATTTATTGTTTACTTCAACCATCCTTGACTTCCCAATAAAATTTATCCCTTTAAAATGATATTTCTGTCCCACATATAAGTGAAATCTTATAGTTTCTGTCCTTTTCCATCTGGTTTATTTCATGTTACATCATGTTCTCAAGATCCATCCATGTTTTGAAAATGACAGTATTTCATCATTTTTATGGCTGAGTAGTATTACATTTTATATATGTACCACCTGTTCTTTATGCAATCATTCCTCAAATGACACAGAATGCAACAAATGGAAACAAACTCATAGACACACACAACAGTGGTTACCAGAAGGGAAGGTGATGGATGGGGGATGATGAAGAAGGTACAGGGGCTCAAATGTATGATGATGGAAGGAGACTAGACTATGGGCAGTGAGCACACATGCAGTAAACAGATGTTGTATTATAGGATTGTACACCTGAAACGTTTATAATGCTATTAAATCAATGTCACCCCTATAAATTTAAGTAAATAAAAATATCCTAAGTGATCTTTCTATTGCTACACTCTTCTTGTCCTTAAAACAACAACAAAAGCCTCACAAATCACTAGGATCATCAGGTTTATTTTCACACCTTTGCCAGAGCCTCTCTTGGCCAGGGAGGGTTTTCAAATTGACCATTTTAAAGGAGCAGGTTATGGACGGCACTTGTGGTTCACATGGCTCTTGGATGTGGCCCTCATTATCCAATCATATCTCCGTTGATTGATGTGTTTGCTATCATTTACTTAATGGACTGAAGTTAGTGTGGCTACTATAAATGTTTGGAAGTATGTCATCTTTCTGTACAGCCGAGAGTTTCAAATTATTCATAAAATGTGCAGGGATCTCAAAAGAAACAAATGAAGCAACACCTGATGTGACCACTTTATTACTCTCCTGGAAGTACTTTTTTAAAATATATTTTTTATTGATTTCAGAGAGGAAGGGAGAGAAATATATATAAACATTTATGATGAGAGATTCATTGATTGGCTGCCTCCTGCATACCCCTACTGGGGATCAAGCCGGCAACCTGGGCATGTGCCCTTGATTGGAATTGAACCGAGGATCCTTCAGTGGGCAGGCTGACACTCTATCCACTGAGCCAAACCAGCGAGGGCTGTTGGAAGTACTTTTAATCTGTGATGGTGTGTGCTTTGACTGTGGGGAGGGAACAGGTCATGAGAGAGCACCTTTGCTATCTGTCCAGCTTTCATGCTTTGGGAATCAAAGGTAACTAACCGTTGGGAAAAGCCCTGTATGGGACCAGAGATTTTCTAAAGGTTTTTATGTCTGTATATAGCTCTGCATGTTAGTACTTCAGTCTCAGCAACTAGCAATTTTGGTGTCACCTAAATTGTGACTTACTTTTTACATTGATATATTTTAATTATGTCCAAATATTTTTTTAGCTTATTTTAAGCTAATGTGGCATCTCTTTCTTTTCAAAGAATGGCATGTCTAAGGAGGGAGCTCTACCTGGAAGATGCTCAGGGCCTATCCACTTACAAGCTGAACTTAGGTCAGTGTCATGCTGTTTTTAGGTAACAGAAATAAAACCCTGAGTGATGACTTGGAATTTATCTTAAGTATGTAATTTCCTGGGGGGGGAAAAAAGGGGGGAAGTTTTTTTGAGACTGAATAATTACATTTTCTTTCCTGATCCTAGTGTTCTGTACTTTAGAAACAAATGTTTAGAAAAAGATCACAAAAGCTCTGATTAGTCAAGGAATAACAGAAATGCATTATGGGTCCACAGCCCCTTCCCCAAAACCTCTGGCACAGACATATTTTGGAATTCAAGATTTTTTGGTTGTTTAGCAGGGCAGCACTTTTTTAATCAAACACACTAGAGTCTCGACAGTGAAATGCATGAATATTGAAATGAGATAAAAACACAAAAGGCTTTACTTCCTATGGAGTCTTCATATCAAGCTTAAAAACAAACAAACAAACAAACAAACAAGAAAAACTTTGTTTTCAAACTTTTGAAGTTTGGACTTGCAGCTATATCCTGGGCCTGTCCTTGCTTTTCTCTGGATTATATCTACCTTATTGACTAGCCTATCTGTAAAGAAATTAAATCTATGTTGATCATATATTCTGGTTTTTTGCTATTCAAACTGGAGTCCAGTGCTAGCAGCATCAGTGCTACCTGGGAACTTGCTGGAAATGCAGAATCTCGGGCCCCACCCATAACTGCTGATTCAGAATCTGCATTTTAATATGTGCCCATGTGATTTTTGTATATTAAAGATCAAGTATTTCATCAGATTTAATTTAGAGTTCAAGTCTGGTAAGGCAAAGACTCACATGAGAATATTTTAGCTTTTTAAACCCTTGGAGAATTAAGTTTTCTGTGTCTGCCTTCCTACCATATAGTATCCACCTTCTCTCCTGATGACCCTAACATAACTGCTTCATATATTTAATATCTCCTCTTTCTTTTTCTTTTTAAGAAAATGCATAATCTAATTATTCATCATGAATTTGGATTTATTTCTTTGTGTACTTTCTATATATGCCTTTATTTCTTGCATATATTTTTTTACACTGATAATTTTTTTCTCATCACATTCCTACCTGTGCTAGTTTGTTACACATTTTATTGCTATATATTTTTTTATCTATAACCCTAGAAATTTTAACATGCATACTTTCTTATGAAAATCTAAATTTAATCAGTTTCTTTTCTCTCTCCCAAATAAAACCTTACATTTTAACGCATTACTCTCCTTTGCCATATACTATTGTTATTGTGTACTTAGTCTACTTAAAGAACAGTATTAATCATGTAAGATTTAAGATTTTGTTATTGTTTAGAGAGGATGTTTATTTATACTTATCCACATATTTGCCACATTTTTTTTTTTTGCTTAATAATTTTTGCATTTTTGATCATCTATCTGGGTTAACTTTTTCCCACCAGAATTTTATAGATTTCCTTTAAGTGAGAGTCTCTTGCTGATTAACTCTGGGTTTTTGTCTGAAAATGTCTTTATTTTGCCTTATTTTAATCTGTTGTTAAATCTATCCATTTTTTTTATTTTTATTTCAATGTCAATTTTTTAATTCTGGAAACCAGTGTTTTGTTTTTTTGTTATTTTACTTCCTAGTATTTGCTTGGTTGATAACTTGAGGTCCAGTGTACAAAATTCGTGCACTCTTGGTGGTGGTGGTGAGGGTCCCTCAGCCTGGCCTGCTCCCTCTCACAGTCTGGGAACCTTCTGGGATGTCCAACTGATGGCATAGGCCCGCTCCCTAAGCTGTCAGTCGGACATCCTTAATGCTGCTGTGGAGGTGAGAGAGGTTACTGCTACCACAGCTGCGCTTGCCAGCATGAACCCGGCTTCTGGCTGAGCAGCACTCCCCATGTGGGAGCACACTGACCACCAAAGGGCAGCTCCTGTGTTGAGTGTCTGTTTCCTGGTGGTCAGTGCAAGCCATAGCGAATAGTTGTTCCACTGTTGGGTCTATTTGCACATTAGCCTTTTACAATATTATATAGGATTTTTACTATGTTTTCAAGTTGCTTATTGCTTTAAACTATATTGAACTATATTATTTTATATTCGGAATTTGGTGATTCCAGTCACTGTGAATCTGATTCTGCTGGCTATTAGTCATCCTGTCTTGTTTCTTAGCTGTGTGTGTGTGTAAATTAACTAATTAACCGATTCATTTAAAACTGTCAGCTATTCATTTTTCTCATAACTTTATCTGTGGGGATTCTTCCTGGTGTAGGTCATAGACAAATTCTTCCCAAAGATACTTGTCTGCTTCTGCTCAGTGCCTGGGGTATCACCAAAGTTTAATGTCCCTTCACATTAAACTTTCTGCTTTAGAGTGTTAGGGCCCCTGATCTTTTTGTATGAATTTGTGCTGCAGACTTGCCTGAGTTTGGTTTGTTGTAATGAATTCATAGGACTGGTTTTTTGTTCCCTTCTTCTTTCGCCCGTGGCCAGGATTTGAGGCAGGCACGTCCCTTGCATTCATCTGGGAGCATAGCGTGACGAGCGGCTCTTGGTGGTGGCATTACCCTGTGGCAGGGCCCAGGCTTTGTCTGAGAACCTGGGCCTTGCGAGCAGCGCTTCTCTCAGCCGTGTGTCTCCTTTGTGAGAATTAAAAAGGCTCTACTCAGCTTTGTGAAGGGAGACAGGCTAGATGTGAGCAGATCCCCCATTTGCTGTGTTCCTGCCTGCTGGGCCTTAAACCAAAGCCCAAGTACTCTGAAGTCAGACAAGCAACCTCAGGGCAAAAGCCAGCTTTCGTGCTTAGCTTTCTTCCCAGGAATCACATTCTGGGGTGTGTGTTTGTGTGTGTGTGTGTGTGTGTGGTGTATTATGTATACAGTAAGTACTGACTTAATGTAGTCTTGGAAACTGTGGCTTTAAGTGAAATGACATCTAACAAAATGAATTTTACAATAGGCTACTTGATATAAACAAGAGGTAAGTTTGTATGGCCTACTTCTGGACACAGAAAGCATCACCAAGCTTCTAAATAAAGACCCAAAACACTTACAATATTAAACATTGAAATAAAAGTGGGCTATACGTACTTTTAAGAAAGTTGAATAACAACCTAATATTGAATTGTAAACTATAATTGGAAAATAAAAATTAAATAAACGAAGTGAGTAAGTGGGGTGGGGGGGAGAAATATGAATAAAACAAGGAAGATCATTCTCCCCCCAACCTCCCTACCCTGATTCCAGTTCAGGTCTCGGGTGGCTGGAGCATCTCCTGCAGCTCAGGGCTGCAGGCACGAACCAGCCCTGGACAGGATGTCCTTGTGTCACAGGGCTCACTAACACCCACACCCACACTCACTCAGAGGGGAACATTGGAGACACGCCGGTTCACCTCACATGCACAGCTTTGGGAAGTGGGAGGAAACCGGAGTACCCAGAGAAAACCACGAAGACATGGAGAGGATGTGCACACTCTGCACAGACAGTGGCCCTGGCACTTGTTTTCTCATTATAATGAAACAATGTTGAACAAAAGGACCTTATTTGAGGACCTACTGTATATATGAATGTATATGTGTGTATATATCTATATATGTCTATATATATCTATATATATCTATATATATCTATATATATCTATGTATATATCTATATCTATATCTATATCTATATCTATATCTATATCTATATCTATATCTATCTATCTATCTATCTATCTATCTATCTATCTATCTATCTATCTATATAAAAGCCTGAGCGACCGGCCAGCCATTCGACTGTTTGACTATTCAACTGATAGCTATGATGTGCACTGACCAGCAGGGAGCAGACATTCAACACCCAGGCATGGAAACATGGAACAGACTGATGAATCTCAGAGGGAAGGGAGGAGAAGGGTGGGAGGGAAGAGATTAACTTAAGATCTTATATGCATACTAGAGGCCCAGTGCATGGATTCGTGCACCAGTGGGGTCCCTCAGCCTGGCCTTCGGGGATCAGGCTGAAACCAGCAGTCTGACATCCTCTGAGAGGTCCCAGGTTGTGAGATGATGCAGGCCAGGCCAAGGGACCCACAATGGTGGTGCACGAATCAGGTGATACTATATGTATGTATATGTGTATTTATGTATATGTGATACTACTATATGTATCTATGTAAATACATATATAGATATCTATATGTATATAAGGAGGTAATATGCTAATTGGTCCTAAAGATGTCCCAGTCATGACCATTCAACAGGTTGCACACACACAGGAGCTGGTGGGCGGGGATGGGGGCAGGGACTTGTGCCACTGGGACATGAGGCTGCCGCCAGAGGCAGCCCCATGGCAGAGGCACATGCAGGCTCACCACACTGCCTGACCTGGAAGGCGACATCAGGACAGGCTGTAGGGGCCCCCCTGACGGAGGCACTCACAGGCGTATGGCACTGCCCTGCCTGGAGTGGGTGTCAGGAAGGGGGTGGGGCCTCGGTGGAGAGCTCTCAGCACTCTTGCACCAGGGTCTGAAAGTGCAGAGAGGAAGGGAGAGCAGATGAGCAGTTAGGGGGTTTAAGCCAAGAGGGGAGAGCTGATAGGCAGTTAGGGGGATCAGGCTAGGAGAGGAGAGCAGTTAGGGGCATCAGGTAGGCAGGAGAGCACTTAGGAGCCAGTGGTTCTGGATTGCGAGAGGGACCCCAGATTGGAGAGGGTGCAGGCCAGGCTGAGGGAACCCCCCAACCCCCATGCACGAATTTCGTGCACCGGGCCTCTAGTATATATATATATATATATATATATATATATATATATATATATATATATATATATATATATATATATATAAAGAGCAGGTAAATGTAAGAAACATTTCAATAGAGAATAGTATTAGGGTAATTGGCAATATAAGTAGTTAGTTTTAGTGCTATTGTAACCCATGAGACCATATTCACACATCTACTCCTTTAATCTACCCTCCCCCGCTTTTGGGGGGATGAAGTAAATGTAGGTCTGGGAAGTTCAATGAGTTTTAAATTTGGAGGCAGAATCTGCGTTCTGAGAAAGCAGTAGTTTACAGTTCTAATTTAGGTCATCACCAGTCTTCCATTCAATTAGCAACTTAATATATGTTTTATTAATTAAGTTAGTTTTAAATTGATATTAATTTTCATGTCAAATTACATTAGGTGGATCACTTCAGAGTTAAGGTTGGCCTTGCAATCATTAGAGCAATAGAGCAGCATTCTGTGGTTCTCAACTTGGCTGTACATGGGTCCCACCTGGGGAGCTTTATAAATACTGCCGCTTGGGAATCATCCCCAGAAACCCTGATGTATCTAGTCTGGGTGTGGCCTGGACCCAGTGCTTCTAATGTGTGGACATGGTTGAGGGTTACTTGATAATAGTTAATTACTTAGGTGCCTTATTTAGACTAACTGGGCTCAAATCCTGGCTCTGCCACTGACGAGATGTATAACCTTAGGCAAGTTTCTTAATGTGGCTCAGTTTCTTCAACTGTAAAGTGAGGATGATGATGATGATAGCACCTAAATCTCAAAGCATTGTTGTGAGGATAAAATGAGTAAAAATACTTGTAAAATGCTGAGAGTAGTGGCTGGCACAAAATAAACACTTACTGTTGCTATTTTAAATATTCAACTGAAACATTATTACTATTATTGGATATATTCTATCTCAAAGGCATTTGCAGGGGGAGCTAAGGGTTTAAGTCAAGTTAAGGTTTGCATGGTAACAATATAAGTTTGGTGTTTGGTTGATTTTGTTTAATTTTTTTAGTTCCATAATTTTATTTAAAAGTTAGTTCTAATCACCCTCTAAATTTAGGCCATTTCTGCTGGGGTCATTTAAGATATTTGTTTCCAAAAGACTGCAGGAATTAAATCAAGATGTTTGCAGATGAATGACTGACAGCTGATAGGTAGAGAAAGTGCTCCCCTCTGTAACAATGAGAAAAGTATACAACAAGGAACATTTCCTTAAACTAGAAATGAGTGCCTTTATAATAAATTAACATATGCCATTATTGATGACCATATTCAGAATTTCAGAGGAAATCATCATTAAGTTATATTATTTTTTGAAGTTGTACTGGTAGAGATCTACATGATGGATGATGGATGCTGGTTTTCATCGTTTTTCAGTCTCTCTCCTCAGTTGCTTCTATCTTAAAGGGGTCTAAGTGTTTTGTGTTCTTGGTTTTAAGTTTTTATTTCTCCTTTAAATGGATGGTAAGACAGTCATCAATGGAAGTTAAATTTGTAAATCATATGCTGTTTTCCCATTAAATTATTTGATAAGGCATGAGGTATGGAGATGCATTTTTTTGAAGGCCACCTGTGGAGCCTGCAGAATATACTTCTTTAACCACTTTTATTATATTATGCTAGGACTAGAGGCCCAGTGCATGAAACTTATGCACAGGTAAGGTGCCTAGTGGCTGCGGGCTGCTGGCTGGCTGCCACTACGGGCCAGGGCAGGTCGGCCAGGGGCAGGGGCAGTATGCAGTTGGCCAGCCAGCCCTACCCCCTGGTCAAACTCCAGATGAACTCCTAGATGAGGAGACAATTTGCATATTGGGCTTTTATTATATAGGATTGGTAAGCTCCCTTCATATAAAAGTGGCCCAGCTGGCTTGTGGCATGGTGAAAGCCCCGAATGCCACTTCCAGAGCTATACATGGGATAAATCAAGAGCTGAGTCAGGTCAGGGAGGCAGTTCTAAGTTACTTGCTATTGTGACCTGCCATGGGTTGTGAGGAATTTAAAGGAATGTGCTGTTTTAATCTTTCTGACAATCCTCAGTTGATAGAAACTAACATTCAACACATTAGAGAAACCAAGGTAGAACAGGAGAAGGATTATTTTGTGGTTTTGAGTTATCCAACTTAACTTCATGGCTTCCCAACCTGTCTGAGTTGTGAGAATTCTTTTAAACTTTTCTTCTGTTCATTTTTTGTTTGTTTTTGTAGTTTAATTGCTTGCTGCTGTATTCAATGTCTTCCTCTTTCTAGAGCCTGCATTTGCTGTATTCTATCCCCAAGAACAGCTTTTAAGGCAGAAGCAAATATAGTTGACCAGGATGAGATTTTTCATCTAAAACTAATCTCATTGATACGAGATGATAAAAAAAAAAAAAGCAGTGGGGAAAAGATAGGAGCAGAAATAGAATATTGGGACCAGCTATAATTGTAAGAAATATTAATCATGCTCTGTTAACCGTGATTGTTTTGTTCTGATTAAAGAAGGCACATTCTAACCTGGCTGGGAGTTGCCTGTGGGACCCGGGAGCTGATCTGGAAATGTGGCCCATCCTCCCCAGCTGGGAGCTGCATATTATTATGGAAAGATTAACAACCAGTGACGGAAACCAGAGCCACCAGCCCTTTGAAGACCCCTGTCCTTTGCATATCACCAGCCCTTGAAGACCCCCAGCCTTGGCATACCGATAGGCCTTTGCAAATCTCTAGCCTGCATTACCTGTTAACTGCCCATTTGGCATATCCTTTTGCCTACTTCCCCATGTAATCTTTGTCCTTCTACCCAATATAAGCAGCTGGCTTATGGGGAGGGGCAGAGCAGGTTTTTGAGGTTGATCTCTGCTCTCCCATCCTACCAGCAGGATTGAAATAAATGCTCATATATTATTCAACCCTGTCTCTGCTTAATTGGCTCACGTAGTGACAAGCAGCGCAAACCCATTGATTGTCCAGTTTCAAACCCATACACTATCCCAGAATTGAGGTAGGGCCTTTGTGTCTTCATTCTCCCCACCCTCCATTTCTTCCTTGAAAATTCTGGGGCTAAATGAATTAATGTAGAATTTTTGAGGTACTAGTAATGTTCTCATTTTTGTGTGGCATGCTTCCATTGTTCAGCAAATCAATGCTTTGCTTTTGTTTAAATATGATTTGATTGGGATGCTTTCTTAGAGCCCAGTATTAGTACACTTTCTTGAGTTTGTTTCCAAAAATATATTTTTTATCCCCTCAAATATGTATGGTCTGGAATCTCAGTTCTTTTCCTTCACATGTGTGTAAACACTATTTCATTGTTGTCTGTCATCCAGGGTTACAGATGAAAAGTTTGATGTTAGATGAATCATTTTTTCTTTTAAAGTTACTTGCTGTGTCTTCCTGGAAGATTGCAGAATTTTCCTCTTTCTAGCATATATCCAGATGACTTTTTTACTTAGCCTTATAGAATTTCTGAGCCTCTTTGTTCTAAAAATGTAAGTCTGTCTTCAACCCAATAAATATTTTGAACCTGAAAATTGAAGTTTTAAAATCAGTGAAGCTTTCTATACTTTAAAAATTTATTACCATACTCACTTTTTTCCCCTTACATTTGTTTACCTTAAAAAACACAAACAGTCGAAACTGGTTTGGCTTAGTAGATAGAACGTCAGCCTGCGGACTGAAAGGTCCTGGGTTCGATTCTGGTCAAGGGCATGTACCTTGGTTGCGGGCACATCCCCAGTGGGGGGTATGCAGGAGGCAACTGATCGATGATTCCTTCTCATCGATGTTTCTAACTCTCTATCCCTCTCTCTTCCTCTCTGTGAAAAATCAATAAAATATATTCACACACACACACACACACATACACACACACACAAACAAACAAAAAAACAAAACACTAACAATGACCTGAAAGGAAATGAAATAATTCAGAAAGTTCTCACTTGCCCCAAGCAAGACTTAACTGTTAACCTTTTGTCATATTTGTTTTAAATATTTCTTAAAAGCACAGTATATTTTTAAGTATTATCTAGAAAACTAGAGTTATAACAGCCATTTAATCATTTCTTAATGGCACTTAGTTGTGAATTAGAGGATACTGAAATATGAGGAATGACAGGAGCAGCAAAAAGAAGTCTTGGGGGGAGGGGAATAAGCATCTTTTAATGTTATGAACCTTGCATCCTGGATGTGAGTATGTTTGCTAAATATTTGTGATGCACAATGCAGTAGGAGTATTGTACCCAGGATGCTTTGGCTGACAGGTGAAGCAAAGGTCAAATGCTGTGTGTCAGGACATTTCCACCATCTTGGGCAACATCATCTTCACTGTCAGCATGGATGTGTGCTAACACCCTGCCTCAACACCCTGGTCATCAGTGTGTGTACATGATGTTTAATCTCAAATCCCCTGGCCACACCCCTGATTTGTTTTGAGGGGAAAATCTGGCGTAAAGTATAAAGAAAAGGGTCCCCATACAATAACAAGGGCTGCTCAACTTCACCTCAGGCCAGGCCCTCATATGGTCACAGTGTGGGTACAGAAATTCCAGGTGTACTCACACCTTGGCACACACCACCAAACACAAGTGTCCTGAAGAATGAGAAATGCCATTTGCCTTTCATGTTTTGTTTATGAGAAAAAAATTTCCTGTGGGGTCTCAATAGCCAGAATTCACTCACATGCTTACACTATTCACAGGTGAGAAATAATAGAATTTCCATGACTGCCATCCACCAGTGGTTCCCAACCAGAGATTATGTCATTACCAGGGGACACGTAGCCATGTCTGGAGACAACTTCGGTTGTCACAGTTGGGTCCAGTATTGGCATCTAATGGATGGAGACCAGAGATGCTGCTAAACATCCTACAATGCATGGGGTCAGTCCCCCTGCAGCAAAGAGTTATTCTACCCCAAATGTTAATGGTCCCAAGATTGAGAAACCCTGACAGACAAATCAGAGTCTTGCCCTTCAGAGTGGAGGAGAGGGCTCTTGTTCCACTAAAGCACAGAGCTCATGAGGGTATGGTGGTGCCCGCTAAGAGAGCCCACTACAGTCCTGCTCCCCTGGCGAAGCTGGTCTCCTGGCCCCTCAGAAAGGGCGGCTAAGAGCTGTGGCTTTGACGATTACTAACGATTAACTGACCACATTAAATTCCATGCTATTCTTGGATTCATTCCCAGTCGTCTTGTTTCTCAAACTTTCTGCTGAAGATATTTTTAATGAATTAAAGAGGTACTTATTAAAAATATCCGAGAGCCTGTGTGTTGTTGGACTAAAGGGCCAGACTTGTCACATGGGAAAATGCTGAATTAGACAGGATCGCCCATCAGTCTTGTACTTGGTGACTGGAGCGGTGGGGAAGGTCATTCAGGCTTCTAAACAGAGAAGTTTCCTAGTACTTGTACCTCTAAGCATCGGGGTTGAGAACTGCCAGGCATTCTCATTGCCAGAAATGGCAGCAGTCATGTGATGGAATTCCACGTTGCACGGGCCTTTGCATCTCTTCTCCTAAAAGGACAGTGGGTTTGGAATCGGGAATAGACTAGAACCTCCTGGATTAAGCACTTAAGGGCCTTCTGCAAATCCTAGCTTGACCACTCACCTTTGAGAAGTTGACTGTTTTCAGCTTTGGGTAACTCATCTATAAAATAAGTTGAATTATAGTAATTGCACAGGTCGTGTAATTCCCCTTGCCTCAGAGAAAATACACATCTCTCTCAATTCATGATAAAGCGTGATTTTTTATGGTAACCATAGTAAGCTTGTGCTCATGCTTTCATTGTTTTTAGCAATCAGTGGGAAGCGCATCAGGTGAAATCTCTAAAGCCTGCCTATATCTGGTCAAAGCTCACTTATTGATTTTTTTCCCTCTACTGAAACCTGCACACACACACACACACACACACACACACACACACACACACACACATACGTGAGGAGAACAGAGTTCATGTTCACCAGTTCAGTGTATATTGTAAATAGTACAGTATTGTTTTTTTGAAGCCCACATTGTTCTTAGATAATAAAGTATAAAGCTGGAAAATCGCTAACACTTGGACAAGGCAGAAAGCCTTTCTGGAAGGGTCACGTGTGTGTGTACATGTTTAATTTCAACTCCCCTGGCCACACCCCTGATTTGTTTCAAGGGGACATCATCCATCTTGGCAACATCCTCTTCGCTGTCAGCATGGATGTGTGCTAATTCCCTTTAATGTGCCTCATTTGGAATAACTTTCTTCCTCACAGAACGTTTGTGTGGAATGACTGGAAGTAATGATCTTTGCGACAGTGAAGAATGAGGGCAGGGAATGAAGAATGGAAAAGGGAAAGGAATTAACATTATCAAGTGCCTTCTGCGGGACAGTGCCTGA